AGAGTGAACTTAATTTAGTTTTATGGGTACTTGCCCATGCTATATTGGCATGTGATAGATAGCTGTGTATAAAGGAAAAATGAAGAAGTTTTAAATTTTCGAACGATAAATAATTTCTTGCTTTATAGAGTAGACCAATGTTTTTTGAGACTTTTGTATTAATGGTATTTATGTGAGAGTTCCAAGATAATTTCTCGTCAAGAAGCACACCAAGAAATTTAGATGATTGAGTTCGTTCAATAATTGTGTTGTCTATACTAATATAGTTGGTAATAATTGTGTAATAATAATAATAACAATAATTAATAATAATAATAATAATAATAATAATAATAATAATAATAATAGTAATAATAATAATAACAATAATTGTGTTTTCTATACTAATATAGTTGGTAAAATTGATGGGATAGCCTTTTTTTTTGTGAAATAAGATGTATTTAGTTTTGTTTAAGTTTAATGACAATTTGTTAGCTCTGAACCATGTGTTAAGTTTAATAAGTTCTAAGTTTGCGGTTATAAAGAGGTCACTGATTAAGCTAGAAGAATAAAACAGATTAGTGTCGTCTGCAAAAATTATGCAATCTAACTTAGATGAGACTTTAGGGAGGTCGTTGACATAAATTAAAAATTGAAGAGGAGCTAGAATAGATCCTTGAGGAACCCCACATTTGATTTTTAGTTGTTTCAAGTTGTTATAGTGATCTATGGTAACACATTGTTGTTTGTTGTCTAGGTAGTTGGCGAACCATTTTATAGTTTGATTTTTTATGCCATTTTTTTCCATTTTTCTTAGTAGTATTGTGTGGTCTACTGTGTCAAACGCCTTTGTAAGATCAATAAAGACTCCTAATACAAACTTCCTATCATTAAAGGAAGTTGTAATGTTATTAATGAGATCTAGGATAGCATGTTCTGTTGAATGTTGCGTTTGAAACCCGTATTGATTTTCACTTAATATTTTGTGTTCTATTAAATATTTATACAGTCTGTTGTAAATTATTCTTTCAAGGAGTTTAGAAAATATAGGAAGAATTGAGATTGGTCTATAATTGCTAATTGCAGATGTATCTCCACCTTTAAATATAGGTAGAATTTTTGCTATTTTTAATTTGTCTGGGACAATTCCGTTTTTGATTGAAGAGCTGAAGATATTAAAAATAGGCTTTCTTATTGCAGAAAAAATATAAAGCACAACATTGCCAGAGATGTCATCAATACCTGGGGCCTTATTCTTTTTAATTGATTTGATTGCTGTTTCTAGTTCATCAAAAGTTAAATTACTATCTGGCAATGAGCTTTCAAAATCGCTAAAATAATTTTGAAACAATGTTTCTGAGCCTTTTATTTTTGATGCCAGGTTTAGACTAGTGTTTACAAAAAAATGATTAAATATTTCTGATATCTCTTTTTTATTTTTGTATTTAATATCGTTTTCCGTTATTCTGGAGGGTAAAATGTCAGATACTATTTTATTTTTACCAATGATTTCTTCCATAACTTCCCACGTTTTCTTTATGTTACCATTATTTTTTTTTTAATTGTTGAGAATAATATCTTTTTTTAGATTTATTTTTTATTTTTTCAAACAGTTTTTTATATTTTTTATAGGCATTAAGATTAGCTTCGTTTCTGTTTTTTAAATATTTGATGTATAATTTTTGCTTTTTTTTTGAAGATTTTCTTATTCCGCTTGTAATCCTAGGACATTTTAAATATTTTGTTTTGACTTCTATTTCTTGAATTGGAAAATGTTTGTTATAATATTCAAGAAAGATGTCGAGAAATAGATTACAAGCGGAATTTGTGTGTCCAAGTTTGTGAACTCTCCAAGAAACAATCTTAAGCTTTCTAGAATCCAATCACCTTTTATTTCATCACTTATTGGGTCGAAGTCAGTGCTGTATATCACGGATAAGAACTTTTAAATTAGCTGCTGCTTTTATAATTTGGGTTTTTCACATTCGATATCTTTTCCTATTTCTTTGAATTTTTTTGTTTATAATAAAATTTGCCATATTTTTAAAACATATTATGTTGTCAAGACTTTTTGAATTGTCCACAAATAATATATGAGATCCAAATTTATCTTTTAATAACCTCTTTAAGTAACATTTATCATACACTTCCCCATCCTCGGCCATAAGTTTTTTTAGTTTATTACAAAACTGGCTGAGCGTTATAATTTCTGCAGTTGCTTCGAGCCATTCACATGCTTGGTTAAATGCATCATATTCTCATTTCGCGGCCTTCCTATTTTAGTGGATTTTGCTGATTCTTTTTTTGTTTGGAAATTTAAACTACAGCTCTGATGATATCTAGCTTCTGCAGCAACAAGATCAATGGAACTTAGTAATCAAGCTTAAATCTGAAGAGCCAATGAGTCATTTGCATTTTCCTCTTTTCATTATTAGATATTGGCTTTTGTCTAATATCTAATAATGATACCTATGACAATATTTTCGATTTAGATTTTTTAAATGCTTGATACATTGTTTAGCACAATAAAAACAGTCTTTGCTCTTCCAAGCAAAGGTGTCAATATATTTTCGATTTTTTTTCTCAAAGGTTCTTGAACAACAATACGCCGTTTGTTGTTACAAAATTTTCTACAAACACTATAGTTTTAATCGATTTCACTAAAAATAACTCGCTGTGTAACGAATCTTTATTTTGAACTTTGCTGAATTGTAACAATCCACTCAATCCTCTTTCTGTCACTTGAATCAAATTCTCTTTTGTTGGTTCTTTACAATTAACACACTCTAATTTATTTTATATAAGCAAAAATAAAAACAAAAGAATATAGTAAATTGTGAAAATAAAAAATCACAGTTTATTTTAAATTCTCATACGAAAGCAAATAAATTCAGCTCGAAAGCGCAACAAAATTTTAAATCTATCAAAAAACACAACGAATTGATTTATTAAAAAAAATAAAGCCAAAAAATGCTTATTTTCTTAAGAGAAAAAGAAAGCAAAAAAATTGCATTATTAGGGCAAAATTGTCCGAAACCATTTTTACTCCCTAAAAATACATAACAGTTCTAAGTTTGATCGTTTAGGTTCACTTTTCTTTTATTCATCAAAAATCAGAATAAGATACTAATAACACCATTTTTAATTATTTTTGCCCCCCCCCCCCCGATATTATTTTAAGTTATTTTTGACTCCCCTCACGTGGACATAAGATTGTGAAAAAACGATTAAGGAGTATGCAGGTGGGGTTTTGGAGATTTCATTAATTGAGACTTTTAAGCTAAAAACTGTTTCAAAACTACTTAGTTCCCACTTGACCTATTTTAAGGTCTCTATTCATTAGATTATTTTCTGTAATTTTTAGTAAATATGTTTTCGTTACGTCCGTAACTAAATAACTTTTTAAAACCTCGTAAAACTTAGCAAGTGGGAGAAAATTAATCAAAAATAACCGCCGTGCGTAAATTTCAAGTTTTGAGTTTGTATAAAAAGTTAAATAACTGGTGGACCAAATGATTGCTGATATGGTTTAATAAAAATTGTAACTAAATAACCAAAGTATATTTATGATTGATTTACACGACAAAACTCGTTTTCATCTTCTTTGATAGTCATATAATTCTTTTTTCTTTTTTAATGAATAGAATTAAAAATCATTACTATTTTGTGTTTCCCAGTATTCTTGATGTTTTACACAGCCAAGCTAAATCTATAAGATGAGGGGTCGTCCATAAATTACCTCACGCATTAGGGGAAGGAGGGGGGGGGGGAAGTGTTAATGATTTTGTGACGACTTATACGGAACTTGTTACTAAAGTGTTATGATGTTGTGACAAGGGAGGAGAGTCTAAAATGGTCAAAAATTGCGCGACGTTATTTGTGGACAACCCCTGAGCAGTTTTGGCTAATTGATATATTGAGTCAGATTTGAAAGTGATTGGGAAACCTGTTTTTTCATATTTATTAAAAAATTTTTATGTTGTGATTATTTGTGAGGAGCCAACTTGATAAACGCGTTAAGTCCGAGTAAATTGACTTGACTTAGAGAAAACGACATAAAAAAAAAAACAAAAAAAAACTACTCTTGGCCAAGAGAAGATCAGTTTTACGCTTTTAAAAAAAAGTTAGAAGTTTTTACCTTAGGTAGAAATTTCTTTAATTTTGTCATTTTCTTAAAGTCAAGTCAATTTACTCGGACTTAACACGTTTTGCAAGTTGGAACCAATTGGTTGCGCATCAACAGAAATGTTGATGCCAAAAAATAAACAAAGAAAACATCAACAGAAGTTGATGTTTTCTTTGTTAATTTTCAGAATAAAATTTTTTTAAATTGATCTCATATTTAAATAGATAATAGATTTCGTTATATAGAATGTGAAAATGGAATTGACGTTATATAGAATGTGAAAATGGAATTGACTTGATTTTATTTTGTGACTTTGCGCGTTTTTTTTAAATATAATAATGGAAAATAAAATAAAGCAAACATGCTTACAATTACGTTTAATAAAGTAAATAATCATAAATAAATTTCGTGTTTAATAATATATATATATATACATGAACAATAAATAACTTAGCAACTTGTAATCGTTGCAATCGTATATTTACATTAAGAAAGAATATAAATGCCTATTAATGGTAAAAGTAGCTTTATTGATACAAAAAGTCATTTCATAGTAAGATGTAATTCAATTTACTCTTTTGTCTGGATCAGTTGAAATTTTATTTTAATGACAATCTAATAAAGTATATTATAATGACAATAAATAGTAAAAAAATCTAAATCCATTTTATAAAACATTTTGAACAAAAATCTAAAAAAATATTATCAAAATGCGGTGCCAGAAAATTTAACAAATAATAAATTATTACAGTTGCCTAATGGACGAAGCTTTAATATCAAGATCCGAAAGTTAAGCAAAATTGTACCAAAAAAAAAATAAAAATAGAAAAGTATTTTTTGTCATCCTAAGTTTATGTGAACGGAAAAGAATTTTTTTAAATTCTTAAAAACTTGATTTTGAAATCAGCGAGTTTATATTTAACTTATCAAACTTATAAACTTTTTGTTTGCAACTCTTTGTGCTCTTTGTTGCTCTCTAAAGAAATGGTTGTTTGATCAAATCAAAATGAATCAGCTTAAAGAACTTCAACTGGAGTAGATAGTTGGCTGTTGTCTTCTTCTTGAAGGCTGTTTTCTTCTACTTGAAGGCTCTGGATCTTAATGCTTTCTGTATTATCGACCTAAATAACGATATATATATATATATATATATATATATATATATATATATATATATATATATATATATATATATATATATATATATATATATAAATATATAATATATGTATATATAAATATATATATATATATATATATATATATATATATATATATATATATATATATATATATATATATATACATATATATAATATATGTATATATATAAATATATAATATATGTATATATATATAAATATATAATATATGTATATATATTTTACACCAATACAACCTCTCTCAATCCATTATATATATATATATATATATATATATATATATATATATATATATATATATATATATATATATATATATACATATATATAATATATGTATATATATAAATATATAATATATGTATATATATATAAATATATAATATATGTATATATATTTTACACCAATACAACCTCTCTCAATCCATTAAAACTCATCAAACTCTCCTTACTTGCAGAAAACAACTCCTGTGACATTATTTTTATCACTGAAAAATGGTTTAATGACCAATCAACTCCTTCTCTTCCAAATTACAACCTCTATCGTTCAGACTGTCTAAACAAAATCGAGGTGTAGCTATTTACACAAACAATAAAATAATTTCAAATCAACTAGAGGATTCCCTACTACGCAAAGATTTTGTTACTATTCAGAACAATTGTAAATCGAACTAAAGCATCGGAAAAAACTCTGCTTCTAGGTTGCATTTAAAGACCTCCATTTTCTGGTATCGAACAAAAAATACAATAGTATCATCATCGCTGGTGATTTCAATTTCCCAGAGATTACAGATTACATACAATTCAGTGTTATCAAGTGAAATCAGCCTTGTTTTTTTTATTTTTCAAGATTGTCATTTTCAACAAATTGTCAGGTTTCAACTTTCAAACCTGCTAATCACCCTATGACAACCACTTTTGATCTCATCATGTGACTCTCCACATAGTGCAAATGAAATCAACATCAGCACTCCACTTGGCTTGTCAGAACAATATCATTGCTCTATCACCTGGCAATACAAACTTGTTTCCACCATAAAATTATTGCATTTCAACAACTTATCAAAGATTAACAAAGAATTCAATAAGATTGACTGGTCCTTTATTTTTAAAGACATAAGCGTAGAACAATGTTACTAATCAGTGAAGAACCCAGACGTGTTTTAGTACCGTTGGACCGGTATGAGCGCCCAAAAAAAGCGACCAAAAATATTTTTTTTTTTTAATTTTTCTTTTTTATGAAAAATAGAAAAAAAAATTTAGTTTTTAATGCAGTAATATTTAAATAATTTTCATTTTATTTTAGCTAATTCATTTTTTCTTCAAGACAACAAAATGAATTAAAAAGAAAATATAAAATCTTTTTTACATAACTACATAAAGTAATTTGCCTTTGGTTACTAAGTGACGTAACTATCGCGCGAGCTTAATTTTTAAATGATTGAACTTTTGATCTTTAGCTTGCTATTTTAATTTACTTGAGGAAAACTAAAAATGAAGCGTTTTTCTGAAAAAACGAAACTTTTTATGAAAGTTTTTATTATTTCAATATTCTTTAAAATAGTAAAATAATAAAATAACTTAATAAAAGTTTTATTAAAATCTTTTTAACCCACAGTAAATCTGTTTAAAATAACCCACAGTAAATGTAATTTATTTAATAAACATAATTATTTTAAATTATACTTAATTATATAAAAAATATATTTTTTTAAATATATGTTTTTTAAATTACAATATGCTTGTAATTAATTAATTAATTTTAATTCTAAAAAAACACTTCATTTTTAAAATTTTGTTTACCGTAATTACCTCTTTTTTAATTATCTTTAATTTAAAAGGTGCCTTGAAATCACTTAAAAATTATTAACCTTTAGTAAAAAATAATGAACAGGTTTGCTAATATCTAAATCAAAATTTTAAAATTAAATAATAAGTTAATAAGTTTATTAAATGCTTATGTTATTTTTTCGAATAGTTTATTAAATGTTTAACAAATTTGTTTATTAAATACTTATGTTTTTAATTTAAATACAAGACCTAAAACTATTTTGTTAATTTTACAAATATTAGGCGATTTAATATATGTAAATATATTAATGTAAATATTGATTAAAAATGGTTTAAGGTATGGTAAGGTAAACATTTAAATTAAATTTACAAAAATATAGTTAATAAATGTTTAAAATAATTCAAACAATTTTCAATAATTATTTACTGATAGGGTGGTATTTGCAACAAAAGCGTTAATTAAAGTCTTAAGTAAAATAGCTTTCTTAATGTATCTAAAGTAAAATCGTCCTCCAGTAAATTCATGTATTCAAAAAAATAATTATTAAAAATTATGGTTGCGCCACCCGTTTAATTAGGGGAGAAGGAAGGGGGGAAGGAAGAGGAGAAGGGAAAAAAATGGTATCCCCAAATAAACTCTGGGTTCTTTACTGCTAACTATGGCTGAACAAATACAATGAATTCTGTCTTCAATTCATCCCTCGTATGCCAAACAAACGATTCCAAAAATAACAACCTTGGGTGACAAGAACTATTATCTCTTACTCGTCTTAAAAAATCACTCTGGGCTCATAACGTCAGTTCAAAATGGAAAATCACATCCCTGGTCCAGCAATATAGATATACTAAAAGTCGTTCTTCATTGAAAATCTTTAAATTTTAGGGTTGTGTTTATCATTGCTCTGGGCAATGATAAACACAACCCTAAAAGACTATTTTCATACATGAATAGTAATAACAACTGTATAACAGGTGACAACTAAAAAAAGAGACTGGATTTAAAAGCACATATCTCCTTAAAGGAATAAGATTTTAAAAATAGGAAAACAGTTTTAGAAGGTTTTTTTTATTCTAGTTTTTAAATATTTTATGTTTTTATTTTTTATAGAAAAATGAATAAAAAAATCAATTCAAAACAAGAAGAGATTGGAAAACGTGTGTATGAATTTTATTTAACTAATAAAAATGCCTGTAAAAAGTTTACTTATGACCACTTTAAAGTTGAGAATATACATAAAAGTACTATCTACAAGATAATTAAACATGCTGAAAGTGAATCTGGGTACCGAAGTACCAGGACTAAAAAATGACCAGGACAAACATTGAAAAACTCAAACTCATGTTTGACCATAAAGACAGAGTTCCTCGACGACAGGCAGCTAAAAAGTTCAACTGTACTCAGCAAAACATTAGTAAAACATTAAAAAAAAAACAAATATTAAATCAAAAAAAAATGACGATTTTAAAACAATCTGACCAGCAAAAAGCAGAAGCTAGAATTAAGTGCAGTCGATTGTGTCAGAAGTTCAAAAATCGTAAACCAATCTTTGACGATGAGTCTTATTTCATGTTAAATCACTCCAATATTATTGGAAATGATATATTTTATACTAGTGATGTAAAATCTACTCCATCTACAGTTAAATACCAAACAAAACAAAAGTTTCAAAAGAAATTCCTTCTATGGATTGCTTTTTCTGATAATGGAATTTCTCAACAACTTATTTTGTACCAAGTGGACTGGCTGTAAATCAAAAAATCTATTTAAACAAATGTATCAAGAAGAGCCTTATTCCATTCATCAATAAGTATCATTCAGAGGGTACATATGTATTCTGGCCAAATTTAGTATCATCTCACTATACAAAAACAGTAATCATGTACCTAAACAAGGAAAACGTGCATTATGTTGAGAAAGCGGATAACTCGGCAAACTTGCCAGAATGTCGTCCTATCGAAAATTTTCGAAGTATTTTGAAAGGCCTTGTCTACAAGAATGATTGGCATGCAGAAAATCTTTAAAAATTACATTCTAGAATCAAGCATTGCCTTAATAAAATTGATATTGAGCTCATAAAGAGACTAGTTCAGTCTATACCAGGCATATTTGATAAAGTCAGAAGAAATGATTTAATTGAGAACAACTGATTATATATTTAAAAACTAGAAAAAAAAAAACTTTCTAGAACATTTTTTCTTTTTGTTTTATCTTATTTCTTTAAAGAGATATGTGTCTTTAAATCCAGTCTCGTTTTTTAGTGTCACCCATTTCACACTAAATTTATGTTTTGAATAGAAACACGATCATTTGCTTTTTCACACGGAGATTTTCGTTTAACGTTTCAACTATTGAATTTAAATTACTTTAAATTTCTTCGTGGAAGCCAATAATATGTTAAAAGGTTGTTAAAGCGAAAAAGTTTAAAAGGTAAAAGACGTTAAAACAAATTTTTTCTTCATTCTTTTTTTTTAACAAAACAGCCTGGTTTTTATTTTTTTTTTTGAAAACATTGCCTTTTTTGCTTCAACATTTTTCGCTTTAACAATCTTGAACTTTTTAAAGTTATATTTACTTTGATTTACTGAATGGATAAAGTACATCACAGTGAATGGATAAAGTACATCACAGTGAATGGATAAAGTACATCACAGTGAATGGATAAAGTACATCACAGTGAATGGATAAAGTACATCACAGTGAATGGATAAAGTACATCACAGTGAATGGATAAAGTACATCACAGTGAATGGATAAAGTACATCACAGTGAATGGATAAAGTACACCACAGTGAATGGATAAAGTACATCACAGTGAATGGATAAAGTACATCACAGTGAATGGATAAAGTACATCACAGTGAATGGATAAAGTACATCACAGTGAATGGATAAAGTACATCACAGTGAATGGATAAAGTACATCACAGTGAATGGATAAAGTACATCACAGTGAATGGATAAAGTACATCACAGTGAATGGATAAAGTACATCACAGTGAATGGATAAAGTACATCACAGTGAATGGATAAAGTACATCACAGTGAATGGATAAAGTACATCACAGTGAATGGATAAAGTACATCACAGTGAATGGATAAAGTACATCACAGTAACTTTACTTATAAACTCAAAACAACCAGTGAAGTTACAGTTATTCAAACATTA